AAAATCTGATCCGTTGTCTAATATGAAATAGTTTTTTCTAGAAAATAAGATGATAATTAATAGATGAAGTTCAATTAACTTCACTTTGACTACCTGTATGGTTTTGTCGTACAGAAAATTCTATAATTCTTATTTTTCGTATTAATGGGTGTGGGTGTGGGTGTGTGCGAGTATTTGCTAAAACTCACACGCCCTCACACACACCCACATCCACACCCACACCCTCCTATCAAAATATTTTTTCCAACCCTATATATTCTTGATATACGAAACTTTTTAAGCAGAGACGAAAATAAAATTTCATCTTTCACCCAAAAATTAAGTATTCCTTCATAATAGAAATATAGGTCACTCAGATAATTTCTTTTCATAAGAAAACTGAAAAAATAAAAACAAAGAACTAGAGTGTAAGTGACTACTGTATTGAATATCATCATCAATTGAGTATATATCATTGATTGGTGGTTGAAAGACGAATTAGTGTGAGGGCGTGGACGTCATGATATCCTGCTCTTAACCCATAGCAAGAGTCAGCATCAGAGCCAGATCCACACTCACACTCAGACAACAGTAATAGTCAGTTGCTTGTGCCTTTCACAACAATTAAACTAAGAGAACTCTATTAGAAGTCTTTTCATCTGATACTATTAAAGAGAAAATGACTTTGAAATCTATAATGCTTGCAAAAAAATTCAAAAACATATGAAAACGTTATTTAATTTCAAGTAAATTTTGATGAAGAGAAAATTGTGGGAAGTTAATCATCTGAACCATACCTAAAACTGGGAAACTGAAGCAATGTTAGCGTTAATAGATGTCACTCATTGACGCTACACCTATCATCATATATTATCTGTCTATTTAATCCTCTTTGATTTTTCTATTGTTGTTCTCTGTTATGGCTGACTCTCGTTACGTCACACTGTAAGAAATGCCTTGTGTCTTACAAGACAGTCCAAGTGTCTATTTTACATTAATTTTGCTTGAGCGTCTAAAATCGGTCATCCGTTGACACGTGACGCGTCTTCTTGAGACAGATAATGCGTCTTTTTGTTAGATATGTAGTGTGTCTTCGTAAGACGCGCCACGTGCCAACGGATGACCCATTTTAGACGCTCAAGCAAAATTAATGCAAAATAGACACACGAACTGTCTTATCTAAGTGTCTTGATTTTTTAGAGTGCATATATTTGTTTTGTTGTTGTTATTATTTTTCTTTATTATTATTATTATTATTATTATTATTATTTTCTCATTATTATTATTGTGTTATCACAAACATAGTTATTGATTGTTTAATGTTTGTTTATTACATAATAAACATTATCCTGATATTTATTCAATAAAATTATTCATAAATCACGTCAACACAAATTAGGGTAGGCGATTTTCATAGTGATCT